GATGGTGCATGAGGCGCACTGCGCCGCACTTTACGGGAGCAGATGGATTCGGGCCGATGCACACAAGACACGGTACTTGCCTCTACCACTAGTAGTAGAACGTGGAGACACCTAATCTGCATCACCTTGAGAAGAACCACTATGGTAGCATGTCTTATTATGGAAGATGTGGAATTCTCTGTCTCACCCTCCACTGACCGACCCTTGCACTCCTTCACGATTCCCACTTCTGCTTGCCTTCCACATTCACTGCCTACCTCCTTCCTCATCCTGTAATCAGTCACAACACATCACTCGTACCCCAGTGTGCCGAAGCCGCAGAATGGATGGGAGTGAGAAGGGGCAATGATAACGCCAGCCCTGCTTACTTGGATGCATGACAGCGTCAATGAGTGCAGTGACGTTGACCTTGCCTTGCCTTGTGCTGTTGGCTGTGGGACTTGGCAGGGATAGACGAGTGTGTTGTGGTGAGTGCTCCACTGGTGGTCGGAAGTTCAGACTGAGTGGTACCATAGAAGCCTACCGAAGTGGGTGTACTAAGAAGAGAAATGCTGAGTGGAGGAATGTGGAAAGCCCTCTTCTCTCCAGCAGTTCCTCGAATCCGAGATACTTTCGGTGATTTTTAATAATAAGCAAAATGCTAATTGTCAAGGAGGATTGAATGCGCGGAGACGCACAAAGGAGGTTTCATTAAGCCAACTTCGACCAAATTGTTGACTAGAAACAATGGGACATCGGCATTGTAATGATCGCTCACCACAAATGAGGAGTGCTTCAAACCGATACAGCAGTCTCACGATGCCCCAGATTTGTGTGTTGGAGAAAGAATGGGGTGAAATCGTAACGAAGCCTTGAATAGCTATCTTGTATTAGGAGATTCCACAAAGCAAATTCGACCTTCGGACAAATTTTCCCTCGTGGTTGGACTAGCACGTAAAGCACTCTTTTAAAAGGGAAACTATTGGACACATGGTGCTACCTAGAAAGCGAAGGTCATGGCAGAGGAGCTGCTATGGAATCCCCAATTTGCGTTCGATAACCTCACTGAAGTCGTAATCATGGGGCCCATAGGATTGACTCACATCACATGGAGTGAGAGACATCCCATTTCCTCTTTCTCATTGACGAAAAGCTTCTTTGGCTACACTTTCTCTCTGAACGAGTTTTTTCTGTGAATAGCGCGTGTCAAGTGAGGGACATCTGATTTAAGGTGGGTGGAGCTTTGGCTTTGGAGAGAGGGTGAGGAGTACTTCTGGGTAGATGCCGAAAGTGAGTGTAAGTGACACGTGCGTACCCTTAACTACTAGTGTAGTCGGCATAGGTGGTGTTGTTCAAGTTAGCAGGACACTGCCGTGGGTCGTGCGTGGAGCAGCGCGTGCTGATGGGCGTCCAAACATGCCAGCAGAGGTGCACAATCCTCTGGATACCCACTCTTCCAGAGAACGCAGAGTGCAGTACTGTTACTAGGTAGTGATACTTGTCAAATTCGACCATACGCCTGTCTGTCTGTCTGTCTGTCAACGATGCTGCTGAGCGTGGTGGCTCTATTTCTACACCGTGGTGTTGATGCCCGCGAAATATTTAGCCAAAGTGGAACATTTGCCTGACCCTAGCCTCCTGATTGATACGAAATATATCGTGTAGTGAATAATATTTTCGGTGCTAGGGACGTCGAGAACTTGGTCAGTAACAAATTTCGGACGTTTCGAGAGGTCAAACGGCACTGGATATGAAAGCATAAAGGCAGGCTGGCCTGGCGTGGTTAAGCAGTAGTGTAAATCTTCCTGCCAAGCATTATTTGCTGGTGCTATAATCGGTGAATAGATGCAGCAGTGGGACTAAGTGGGAAGATGTGGAAAGTATCCCAACACCTCAAACAATTTCAGTGGTATTGTGGAAATGGGAGCGAAGGAATTAGCTTACCCGATGTGGTGTTTTGGTCATACACCTCACAGGGCTGTTGAATAAAGTTG